ACGAAGTTTTTCATGAGGAATCTGAATATCTCATTTTGAAAATTCCAAAGAAATGAAATTTTCTTAAAAAATTGTAAAAACTTTTAAGAATGTCGCAATGTTTTGAGGTTTTTGTAGGAAAAATGGACTATTGAGGGTTATTGAAAAAGCTTGAGTTTTTTTAAATTAAAACCCTTTTGAAAAATATAAAAACAGATATATTCTTACTCAGCTCGACGAGCTCTATCTAACCATGTATAAAAAAACGAAAACAAAAACTTGCTGGAATTCTGCATTGTTTGCACCTTACGAATTCAAAATTAATATTCTTTTCCATTATTACAATCTCAAATCATTAAAGATTTTTTCAACATTTTTCAAAAAACAAAACGTGAAGATACATTCTATAACGAACGAAATGCTTTTTTCACTATTTGTGATCTACATGCTTATGTAAAATTATCAGGGTTGGAACCGGTAAGAAAGAGATAAAACGGTCCGGTCCAGCCGGTTGTTAATCATTTCTGAATCGGTGAAATTCCGGCAAACCGGTCAATTTCCGGTCAAGCTTACCGCTTTAAAATGGTTCCAAACATCCGAAAGTACGGTAGAAATTGATAAAGTTATTTCTAGTTGTAAAGTGAATTATCTAATATTTAAATAACACGGTTGAAACAATATGATTTTGGCTCCTCGTATCATAAGTACAGAAAACTGAAATCGACCTAGGAATAGTTTTTTTATAAGCATATCTTAGAAAATTTCAATATTCGTATTTGAGAAAATATTATTTGACTTTTTATGAAACTTTTAGAAAAGATATGCATAATCTTTATAGTCATGAAGCATCATCATTTTTTCAAAAGTTTATTAAGATTTTCCTAACTGATTTATATAGTACTGTCTGGTCTATTTCAAAACTGATAAAACATGCCTAATTGTCTTCGTGTCTATCATAGTATTACAATCATCACGATAAATATCGATTATAAACTGAACAAAATTTTTAATATTGGCACTATAAAAAGACTTTCTGGACATATATGTATAATGATGGAAAATTTGTTCTACTTCATAGCAAAATACATAGTTCTTCTTACCGAATAAGAGCTAAGTAAAGATAATATTTTTTAAACTTAAACCGGTAAATTTCCGGTATTTACCGGCCCGGTTGACTTTCTAAACCGGTCCGGTACCGGTTCCAACGCTGGTTGCAATAGAAACCTTCTGTAGTTTTTCTTTTTGAAAGTAAATCAAACTTACAAGATGTTTGATGACCAGCGCCATCTATGGTTAATATATTCTATTCATGTATTTTGCTACCAGTATAATATAAACAAAGAGCAATATTGATTTATTTTATTGGTACACAAAATATTTTTTTTAAAAAAGAATATGGCAACTCGAACATCAACTCGATCAACAAAAGCCGTGAAATTTGTCGATTCAGTTGAATCAGATGATGATGAAGTGTTAGATAAATCTTCTTCACTACCGATAACTACTGAAGGTAAAAAACCTCGAGGTCGACCACCAAAATCTCGTCGAAGTCAAACCAATGATGATGATGAATGGGATGCAAGAAACGAACAAATTGATGACGATGACGATGATAATGATGATGGTAATACAAGTGATCATGGACGAGATGTTACAAAAAAAATTCTTGCCAACAGAACAATCGATTCCGTTTATGATTTTGGGTAACGAAATATATATACGTTCTTCTATAGACATTAAAAAAATCGGATTCTTTTTATTAAAGTGAAACACCAAGAAAATGGTCAAAAGCAACACCACAAAGAAATAGTACTATATCAAAAACAAGTGTTAGTGATAGTGGAAAATCTATGGAAAAATTAATGTGTTCGTATTGGTAAGATATTTTAAACGAAAAAAAAAACGAGTTTTTAATCAATAGAGATTATGTTTAGTAATTATACAACAACAAAGAAATATCTTCTTCAAAGGCATTTAAAATCTCATTCAACTGAACGACCACATAAATGTATAAATTTTAAATTAGAAAACAATAACAAAAACTTTTTTTTTGTTTTATCAGGTGCATATTGTGATCGATCATTTAAAACAACTATTCAATTAACTAATCATGTTAATACTCATCTTGGTGTTAAGCCATTTCAAGTAAAATTTCCAATGAAAAAGATTTTTTTTTATTTTTGTTTTTATTAGTGCAAATTTTGTTCATTTTCATTTACAACAAGTGGAGAATTAATTCGACATGTTCGATATAAGTAAGATTACAGCAAAAAAAAAAATAATTAAATTGTTTTATTTATAAAAAACATTGTCTCTTTTTTTTTTCTCTCTTAGACATACACTTGAGAAACCTCATCGATGTGAGGAATGCGGTTATGCAACAGTTGAATTAAGTAAATTGCGGCGACATATTCGTACACATACTGGAGTATGAATTAACAATTTCTTATTTTTATTTTGTTTTATATTTATTTATATAGGAAAAACCTTATGCTTGTCCGCATTGCTCGTATTGTAGTCCGGATACATTTAAACTTAAACGACATCTACGTGTACATACAGGTAAGAGGGGAAAAGATGATGATTTTGCTAATTGATTAAAAGTGGTTTTTTTTCTGTAGGTGAAAGACCTTATCAATGTACGATTTGTAATTTTCGATTTACTCAAAGCAATAGGTAAATTTATTGATAATTAATATAAATATTCGAGTTTACATGAAGAATATCGATTAATAGTGATCATAATTTCCACCGATTTCATGAGATTTAATAATAAAATTTTGTATAAAAGAAGAATGACTTTAATGAAATACAAAATTTTTTTTTCATTGATTCGCTTGTCTTTATCGATAATTATTATAGATAACTTTTGTTTGCGATTCGATATATGACGAATGAGTCCTCTCGTGAGGATTATATATTTATGTATACGAAGGAAGAATGAATAATACCTCTACTTTTCGATTACCTTAAGGAGTAGAGTGTTGCCTAGCAACAAATTCAATAACTCGATAGGGTGTGAGTGTAGGTTAGGATAAGATCCACATATCATGCCCACACTCTTGAGGATACGCACGGAACAATGTAGTCACTCAGTCGTGGCGGCTCCTTAGTTATATATATATATATATATGAAACTTAACCTTTGTCAAAATGATCGTAAACGTGAATTCTTCTGACAGAAATCTTGAGATGAAAATGATTTCATTACTCGACTCAAGATGATCTATGAAATGAAAATCATACTTATCTCTTGTTTCGAAAATATTTCTTATCGTATTATATGTTTCAAAATTTGTACATTTCTTATTATTCAACATTATTATTAGTAAAATTTTACTTGAAAAAGAAAAAGACCATTTTCTATTGATTAATTATTAATTTTATTTAGTTTAAAAGCTCATATGTTAACACATCAAGCTGAAAAACCATCATTTCCTTGTTCGTATTGTCCATCGGTTATGGCTCGAAAATCTGATCTTCGTTATCATGTTAGTAAACAACATTCCCGTCAATCAGAACCATTAGCATGTAATAAATGTGATGAAGATTTTCCTGATAAGTATGCTTTTTTTTCACGTGATTTACCCATTTTAATCGAATATGTTTTTTCAAATTTAAGATATACATTACGTATGCATGGAAAAACCCATAAAGGTCAAACAATTCATTCATGTACACATTGTGAATTTTCTGCTAATACAAGTCAACAATTAGATGATCATATGAATAAACATCGTGGTACACGTCCATTTCAATGTAGTGAATGTGGTTTAATGTTTGCTGCTCGTGCTGATTTACGTGCACATGTTACACGTACACATAGAAATGCTTCGACAACAATAATAACAAATTCACCAGCAATTAATAATCGTCGTCCACAACGACGTGTAGCATCATTACAACATCGTTATATAGATGTTTCATCAGGTATTGAAGATGATGAACAACAACAACATCAACAACAACAACATGATGATGATTATCGTTGTTCAATATGTCAACGACAATTTACATCAGCACGTTTATTAGATCGACATACATATGTTGTACATGAACAAAAACATGATTTATATGATGAAAGAGATTATCAAACAAATGAAATAAATGATGATGATATTCATGATTATGCTGATGATGAACTTGAAGAAAAAAATGAAAATAAAATAATTAATAAACATGAAAATATAATTGAAAGAATGGATGAAGATTATGATGATGAAGAAGATTTAGCACCAAATGTTGAAGATATAATTGAAGGTGATGAAGATATTGAACAAATACCGACAATTAAATCAGTATCATCAGCTAATAAAAAACAAATTGGATATATAAGAAAATTTGATGAACAAGAAGATTTGTCTGATAAAAGAAAATTGAATATTGATAGATGTATGTAAATTAAATTTAAAAAAATTCTTTTTCATTTAAATTTTATTTTTAAAGCTTCATTCAAATCCAATGATGATGAAAAACCGGATTTTGATGTATTTGGTTTTGATGGATAATTTGCTTGTTCTTTTATTTATATATATATATAATCACTTTTTTTTTTTCATTTCATTTTTCTTTTTGTTTGTTTGTATTCATTTATTAGTTATTTTTTGTCTGTCTTGTTTATTAGATATTCATCTCACCGTATTCGTTTATAACGCATATTTTGCGTGTAGAAATTTTTCTTTTTTCTTTTCTTTTTCGTTTGTTTGAGAGATAATATATTATTGTATCCGAGAATCGAATTTTGTTTTTGTTTTTTTTTAGTGAGAACATCAATTGAGAATGAAATGATAATGGATTATAATGTTTATATTGTAGATTTTATTTATTGATGAATGGATCATTATGATATTATATCGATTTAATATACTAAGTAATGATCAACATTTTTCTTTTTCATTTTGTTTACTTTTTAGATGGCTGGAATAAAACTTCTTAGCATAACTAACATCACAATAGTTATATTCATCATTTATCTTTCTTATACAGCTAATACATTCTATTCAATGTTTCGTCCACCAATATGTAAAAGTAATAATTGCCTTTCACCACATATAAAACCATCATCAAATAAAAAAATTAAGGTAAATTTAAAAAAATGAAAATCTAATATTGTTTTATTTTTCTTTATTTTATTTAATTTCATAGTTATATAGTTGTTTATCAATAAGTTCAAATCAACCTCGTTCAATGACGGATTCAAAATGTGTAAAAATATTAAATTTAGATAATTTTACAATAAATCAATCATTTGATGAGTAAAAAGTTTTAAATTAATTCTATTCTATATTATTCTTTTCTTTTTTGCTTTATTAATAGAACAATTCATATACCATTAGTAAAACAATTTCGACAAAATACAACATTTTATATACATTTTTATATTTATCATGGTATTGATCCATTTCAAGATCGAACACATATTTATCGTCAACGATTAATATCAAAATATCTTATTCCACAACAAAATTTTATGAATCTTTTACAAGAAAAATTACCTTCAAGTCTAACTGGTATTAATGAACAAAATCAAGTTTGTTTCTAAACATTAATATTTGAATATAAAAAAAAAAAGAGAACAGAAAATCAAAAATTTATTTTTTTTTTAGAATAAATCAATCAATAATTCATCGGATATACCTATAACTCATATTTTAAAAAGAATTATATTTCATGGTGTTAATCAAGATATTATATTTGATAGATTCGACATTCCACCAGAACTTTATCATTTAATGACGTAAGAAAGTCATTTTATTCCTTTGATTAATTTCATCGTTTTTTTCTTTTTTTGAAAAATATGATTAGTCTATATTCTCAAACAACTTATGGTCCTTTGATTAGTTTGGATGAATTAACTACTCGACTTCGAGATTATCAAGCAAGTTATATTTAGTTTAATAATTAATTATGTCATGTTCAAATGTCGAATTTTGCGAGAAAAAAAAAATTTTTTCCTTTTTCACTCAAGCTTCAATATTAAAGTTTTTAAACAAGATGTTTGTTCACTTTTAATCAGCTAGAAAATATTTCTAACGAGGCAAAAATTATGAATTATGATGCTTTTTTCGAATACGAACTTAGAAATCTTGTCTATATTTGTTTAAGAGTAGTGAAAGACCTCAAAAATTATTTTTAATAGTGAGTCAACAGGTTCTTGCTTAATCTATAAGTTCTTTTTGAACATACGAAAAAAATGGTCGAAGTCAGTCGTTTTGTAGAGCGGATCCTTCTCTATAAAATGCGATATTGAACTAAGCTGTAGCTTTTACCTAAGTAAGGCTACAAGTATTTTTTCAAGAGCTTCTTTCAGCGTAAAACGGTTGTTAATTTTCCAAAAATAAATATTTAAGAAAAGCGAAAATGGAGGTGCCTTACGCGTTATATCAATTAAAACCTCTTGGAAATTAAGATCTATCGATATAATTGAAAATCTCAATGAAAATCATTATCTAAAGATGTATAATAATTCTCTGAAATTTTCTATTGTTTATAAATGACAAAGTGATTTAGTTTACTTGCTCAATCAATAACTAACAATACAAGAAGAATAATTCGGATTGAACCATTTCTTCATAATTTTCTTCTCTTCCAAATGCCAAATAAAATGTGAGGATCGATCAATCTCCCACAGAGAAAAATGTTGTGCATTGGTCGTGACCAGTGCTGGTTACAACGAACGCGCAGTATTTTTCTCTGTCGGAGATTATTATATCTTCAAGTTTCAAACAGTATCTTGAAAATGAGACAATTTTGAACAAAAGGTTCAGCTCGAGTTATTCTTCTAGTCTCTCTTTAGGGAAGACTGTTATGAAAAACTTTTCTTTTGTGTTTGATCATGACTGTGACTGCAATACAGATGATGAATTGAGAATGAGTCTGCAAGAATCTTTTCATTAGACGTTTTTATTTGATAAAAATTTTATTATATCTACTATTTTTTTTATTGAAGCATTATTCTTTGATAAAAAAAAAAATCATTTTTTATCTCTATGCACTAATGAACACAAGTATTAGCTTCCGTTGAATTTCATTTATTAAAAGAACTAAACATCTAAAACAATATGTGAAGATATACTTTGATAAAAATATAAGTCAATAACATTTCCTGAAAACTTGAAAGAAAAGTATGATGAATAATGACGTTATTTCTGTGAAAATTTATAGAAGTAAAAACATTATATATGGTCGATTTTTTGCCTAACTAATATTATGTTCGAGTCATCAAACTTAAAATTTTTATTTATTATTGTTTTTGTATATTTAGCCAGTGAATATATCAGATGATAATATTGAATTAAAAGTAATTTATACTCCTATATCAATTGGTCGTATGAGATTATGGGTTAATTTTGAACGAGCACTTGAATCTACACGATTATATGGATTTTCAGATAAAGAAATCGATGAAATAAAAGGTATTTTTGCTGATAATAATTTACCAATATTAGCATTAACATTTCTTGTTGCTGCTTTTCATGTAAGAATTTTCTTTTCTTTTTTTTGTATTCATTAAAATCAAAAATAAGCTTTTTTATTTTTCTTTTATATAAAGACTTTATTTGATTTTTTGGCTTTTAAAAATGATATTAATTATTGGAGACATAGAAAAACAATGGTTGGATTATCATTACGAACAGGTTAATCGAAATAAATTAATTGAGATTTGTTATTATTTTTGTTGTTGTTGTATTTTAGTTTTATGGCGTTCGATTAGTAATGTTATTATTTTTCTTTATTTACTTGATTCGGGTGCAAGTTTATTAGTTCTTATTCCATGTGGAATTGGTTCATTAATTGAAGTAACTTAGAAAGATAACAAATATTGTTTTTTTTTATTTTTATTTTGATTATTATTTAGATTTGGAAAGTAACAAAAGCATTAAAAATGAAAATTCGATTTAATGGTTATAGACCAATGATTACAGTATGTTATAAATAAATAATTCATGTCTTTTTTTAAATTAATTTTTATATTTTAGTTTGGAGAAGTATCAAAAGAAGAAGCCGATACAATGTTACATGATTCAACGGTAAAAAAAAACTAAGATTAATTATTGATTTCATAATTATAGTTTTAGGCTATGCGTTATTTATCTTATCTTCTATATCCACTTTGTATTGGTTTAGCTGTTTATTCACTTATTTATAATAATCATAAGAGGTAATTTATAGAATGTTTCAAAAATTCAAATGAAAAAATAAAACGTGAATAGCTTCTTAGTAATTTAAGAGATTTAAATATTTTTTTTACAACTTGATCATATATATTCATTAAAATTTTTAGATAAAATTTCTGTGTGTACAGAAGTTAGAATTAAAATAGTTTTACTAATAGCCAAATTCGAATCAGCTACCATTGTAAAACGAAAGTTTCAAGTCGAATTCGGTAAAAAATATGCTAACTGAATCTTGTATTAAAATCATATGTCAGTAATTTTGTGAAACCAATTACATGGTGGAAGATCGACGGCAATTATCGAAGGAAAAGTTAATGAAGTGTGAAAATGAGTTAGGACCAAGTATTCAGTCTATTGCATAAACTTGCTCATTATCACAAACAACAACATACAGGATTATGATAGAATATCTCTTATTAAAATCATACAAGATATAATTTGCTCAATAGTTATACAAAGAAAAGTTACATTAATCGAACACTTGATCCTGGCTCATTTTTATACGTCATCAACTTTTTCTTCACTAATTACTCTACGGTCATTGATTTTCAACAGTACTGGTTTTACAAAATCGCTGGAATATGTTATTAAGACAATGTTTAGTTAGCATATTTTTTTTCTGAATTCGACTTGCAGCATTTCGTTTTACAATGGTAACTGACTTGAATTTGACCATCAGTAAAACTATTTTAATAAATATGTGATCAAACTGTAAAAAGAAAATATTTAAATCTTTTGAATTGCTGAAGAGTTATTCACAATCTTTCTCTTCGTTCGGATTTTTCGAAAATCTCGATATTTGACAATAAAAGATGATAAGGAAAAATATATTTGATTTTTAGTTGGTATTCATGGATAATTAATTCACTTGTTAATGGAGTTTATGCTTTTGGATTTTTATTTATGATGCCTCAATTATTTCTTAATTATAAACTTAAATCTGTTGCTCATCTACCATGGAGAGCATTTATGTATAAAGTAAATTTAAACAAAAAAAAAAAAAAAAAAATTTCTTTTTTCCTAATTTTTATTTTGAAATAAATAGGCATTCAATACATTTATTGATGATCTCTTTGCGTTTATAATTACAATGCCAACAGCTCATCGACTTGCATGTTTTCGTGATGATTTTGTTTTTCTTATTTATTTATATCAAAAATGGTAAGTTAGAATTTTATTAGAAAAGAATTATTAGGAAAAAAAAAACTTTTATATATGAAAAGTCAATTTGTCTAACTGAGAAAATGTTGTTGTTTTTTTGAACACGAATGAGTTCTTTTATAATTTATATTGATATAATTATTTGCCGATTATATATTTAATATTGTCATCGACCGACGAATTTACAAGATAAATCTAACTGTTAGAAGAAATAAAACATTTGATACATTAGAGCATTTCTTGTTTTGAAAAGAATGGAGAAAGGCCGATTGAATGTTTTTTTTTTGGAGTTATTTGTTATCTCCTAGTATTCTCATTCAAATGAATAGAATATGTTTTGTATTTTATGATTAAGTAGATTATTAGATTTTTCATTTAATGTTGTCTTATGTGCGAATTTTATGGTAAAGATTTGATTGATTTTTTCTTTTACAGGCTTTATCCGGTTGATAAAACTCGAGTAAATGAATATGGTGAAGCATTCGATGAATCAACGAAACCAAAAACTGAATAAAAAAAAAAATACAAATCAATATAAAACAACTTTCAAATGCAATGGAATATCTTTTCTTTTTGTTATTGTCTATGTTTTTCTCTTATCTGCAATTCACAACAATAAAAAGAATGTCTGTGTTATTAAAAAAACGCAATA